CAAACTCACCCACAATTTTGCAAATGACTCCCCCCATCCCCCCCCCTTGGAGCAACCAGACATTCAATTTCCAATAACTCCCATATCGTCTAGGCAATCCCTCCCACCCTAAACTGGAGTAAACCAAATCCAACACTTACCTGCTGTACTTCGACCGTGCAAGGCACATACAGTCTGTCAAGCCTGGCCATGCACCCACGATGTACAAAAGTGTGCATAATCCCCCCAGCACCCCTCCACATCTATTAACCCCACCCCTGGAGTTTACCTGGAGAGAGTTCCGGGGGTCAACGCCCCCGCGGCCCGGTCTGAGACCAGGCCTCCTGTGATCACAGCCTGATCAACCAGGCTGTTGCTGCTGGCTGCACGCAAACCAACATACGAGCTACAGCCCGTCGATCCGGAACTGACTTTAGGTGCTTGTCCAGTGCCAGCTTGAAGACTGCCAGGGGTCTGTTGGTAATCCCCCTTATGTGTGCTGGGAGGCAGTTGAACAGTCTCGGGCCCCTGACACTTATTGTATGGTCTCTTAACGTGTTTGAACACCCCTGCTTTTCATTGGGGGGATGGTGCATCCGTCTGCCAAGTCTTTTGCTTTCGTTAATGATGATTTCGTGTGCAAGTTCGGTATAGTCCCTTTTAGGATTTTCCAGGTGTATATAATCATGTATCTCTCCCTCCTGGTTCCAGGGAATACAGGTTTAGGAACCTCAAGCGCTCCCATAATTGAGGTGTTTTATCTCCGTTATGCGTGCACGTGAAAGTTCTCTGTACATTTTCTAGGTCGGCAATTTCACCTGCCTTGAAAGGTGCTGTTAGTGTGCAGCAATATTCCAGCCTAGATAGAACAAGTGACCTGAAGAGTGTCATCATGGGCTTGGCCTCCCTAGTTTTGAAGGTTCTCATTATCCATCCTGTCATTTTTCTAGCAGATGCGATTGATACAATGTTATGGTCCTTGAAGGTGAGATCCTCCGACATGATCACTCCCAGGTCTTTGACGTTGGTGTTTCCAGTCAACAAATCCTCCAAAACCATACAACAATACCCCGAACCCCATAGTTCCACATCCTTACGCCTGATGACACAAATCCAATCACCAGCTATGACTGTCACTGCATGAAGTGACCTCAGATGATATACTAAAACCTCCCTCATGAACCTATTCTTCACACGACCATCCCCCTTTGCCGGTCCACATACACAAAGGTGGCCCGATCCCTCCCCATAACCCTTCAACCCTGACCACCCTTCCCTCCCCACCTTCTTCACAATGCCACACAACAAATGGGCTAGTCTCCCTAATCATGATTGCCATATCTCCTTTCAATCTTGTGTGTGCCACGTATACATGAAACCCTCTATCATTAATACACATCCTGGCTTATAATTGTGTTCTTGAACAAACACAACATCTACGCTGTAACGTACTAAAAATTCCCGGAACCATTTACACTTCCTTGCAGACCTCAAACCACTGATATTAAGTGTTAAGCACTTCAAACAGACAATGGGGCTTTCCTTTTGACACCAATGTGCCTTTCTCCCCCTGTCCATTTGTTATCCCCTCTGTCTGCCCCCTCCCTTAGAATTTCCTTTCACTGGGACCAGCCCCTTAGGACCACCGGGACCTCTCAGCGTCACATCTGCCCATGTCTTTTTACTCATTTTTTTACCCATTTGATGAGCAGGTGTCAGCACGTCCTCCGTGTCAGGAACAGCTGCACGCTTGCGTGACTCACTGTCCACCTGCATCATATCCTCTGGAGGGCAGGCCTGATGTACGTCCACTTCCACAGTATGAATCAGCAAGTCTGCAGCAACACCAACCACTGGCATACCGCTGTCGACCACGTCTGCATCTACAGTAGACCCAAGATCTAGTGCAACATCCAGCACAGCACTCATGCCCTGGGTACCCAACAGATCATCCAGGACAGAGGCAATCAAGGCCTCCATGTCACCGACGACCACTGCTGGTACGACCTTGCCATCCTCAAGGTCAGTCTCCGAAGAAGGCAGTCCCCCGGGATGCGTGGCACATGCTGTTTCCGTCATCTCAGTCCTCTCCACCTCCACGCCATGCCCGGTGAAGGCACCAACACACAAGGCGGAGTCGGCTCTTCATGTTCCTCCTGGGACTCTGTGCATCTCCCATCATCCCTGGGGCCCTGTCGGCGAACACACTGTGCAGCGATGTGAGATGTGATCATATGCTCCCGTGTAAGTCACCATCACATGAGTTCGGAAGTCGTCGAAGATGACATAGGATGGTATCGGATGTAGTAGTGTCATCTTTAATGTGAACATACCTTCAGGAAGCCCAGCATACAGCCCATCAGACCACCTCCCAACCATACCATGTGTATTGTGCCAAATTTGTCGAAAGCTGCATGTAGATCCGATTCATCAGCTTCAAGGCTGATGAATCGGATCTACATGCAGCTTTCGACAAATTTGGCACAAGACGGTACATTACGGATTTTCACCCATGTATTATAACGTCAAACATCATGGAGTTTCACAGAAACTGCATGGTTAACAGGAAGACTGATATCCTGATACCGTGCCACCACTGTCTGATAAAAACCAGCGGTGCAGAACTTCACAAAAATCCTGGAAGCACCATTCAATGTCACACCATATAAATCATCATTGACGATGCCACAGGTATCACGAATGATAGCCGGCAATAACATAGTTGTAGTTGGCCCAGACACAGCCCCACGGATCAGTTCAATACACACAGTGTTGACACAGTGCCTACCAGCCAGCACCACATTGCGAAAACAAACTGCCACCAGCTGGCGATAGGGAACAGTCTCGGCTCACGTCCTCTCGGCCCAAGGGTTAAAAGACGATTGCTCGTTTTTCATTGTTATAAGCTGAAACCTCGTCGTGGAACCTAAATGAGATATAGGTTAGTAATTTGGTTATGTTTGTAACAAGAAAGGTTGTGTAATGATCAGACGTATTGTCATTGATTATGCAAGCGTTTCGAGGAGTCAATAAATTTGTCAATATGTATGGCCAGGAGAAGATGCAGATGTCTCAGTAATTCATCTGGGTGTTGTTACTGAGGGTAAATTAAGAATTTATAATTGTTGTATACGATGCCAGCTATTTGTTTATTTAGTTCATTTTTATGACATCGCACAGAATAACACTTTCAGCACGGAAAACACACGGAACTTCACCTCTTGCTACAGCAGTTAGCACGAATGGCTGTAGATGATAGAAAGCTTGCTGGTGACTCAGGATGGTGCAGGCTTGTCAAACGTGACTTGGCATCGCCGCACAGGTTAACACTTGGAGGCAATAAATCCAAGTTGACGCCGGCGAAAAATTAGATACAAGAATAGAAATTTTAATAGAAAAAAAACAGCTTTCTCAAACGTACTGGTATTGCAGTGCAGGTTGACTGCTGGAAAGATCTTAGACGCTGAGGTCGTGGCAATCAACAGGCTGTGTGCTAGTGTGCTGAAGTGTTGCTCACTCCCTCCGCCCCCTGGGATGGCCACCGCTGGCTAGGTGCATTGCTGACAATCAAATATACTTGATTTGAAGAACTTGTAGTGGAGGTAGAATTTCAAGTAGAAGAGCGGGTTGAAAGCTTACATAGCTTGCTATTGGGATTTATTAGGATTCTGTACAAGTAGGCCAAGTGTAGTAAGAAAGACGCCGTCCCATATTTCCAGAGAGGGATGCGTGAGCAGGAGGAAGGCCTGTTGGTCAATGAGCAGTGACCTAGTCGGCATTATGCTGAGCAGGTGCTCAGCTCAAGGGTCACAAGAGAAAGTGTTCTGTAGATACTTGCTTGACGGAGTGTTTGAATGCTACTTTGAGTAGGTTTCTAGAGAAAACTAGGCCAGGTCGAACTGGTTCGTCCACTACCTTCATTTTTGCGAATTCTTTTACAAGTTGGGTTATGAAATATTCCATTGCTGCTTCCATTAATTTAACTCCCCATATTTCTGGCCCTCCATGTGGTTCGTAGTTATCACAGTCTATTTGCATGTTATTGAAGTCCCCTTCTATCAGAAGCTTTGCCTTGGTTCTGTTTGCTCTCCTACTGTTCTTATTATGCTCTCCCTCAGTCTCCTATTGTTCAATGAATGGGCTATATATCTTCTTAACAAGAGATGGAAAGCCATTGATGATACTCATTGGGTCACTTGTAGTTTCTACTCTACAATATTACCGCACACTAGTGTATCAGTTTAAGTTAAACAAATTGGCAGATATAATGTGCAGACAAATGTCCTCATATAAATTTAAGCAGTTTAAATATTGGGGATGCCTTAAGTCCCTCTAACAGTTCGTGGAAAGCTGAAGAGATGTGTCGCAATTTATACCTGATTAGGCCAGTACCCCGGCAGCAGTGGTGGTGGGGGGAAGGCTGATTATACAGCATATTAGGTATCAGGCTACTGTTGTAAAGAAAAAATCGCTTGTAAAGTGAAATATAGTCTTTTAGGTTATAGTGAGTGGTGAATATACTTGTATATATTTTAGGAAGCCTAAATAAATGAAGAATAGGAACAATTAAAAACTGCTGAATTTGCGAAACGTGGTAAAGCAATGCGCTGTAAACTGGGGCCCGCCAGTACATGTTTTACGATTTATTTTTGTTTTCTAGCTAAACAGGATAGAATAATATATGTGCTTCCTACGTCAAATATGTTCTTTCCGTGTCCGTAACTTACCTTCTTTCCCAGCATTAAACTATGTATATACTAGTCCAGACCGTTATAGCTATTTGCACGCAACTTTGCATGTCGAATCTCTGTTGTTCTAATCTAACAGTGAGTTTCTTCCAGCAATATTATTCAGAATATAACTCCGCCAGTTTCGGACGTGCTAACCTCCTTGTGATGTATAAATATACTTAGTTGGATGAATCTTATTGTATTTATTTGCATATTTTTTAGAGCGTAGTCTGACATGGGAAGCCTCGGTAGCTAGCTTTCAAATCAAATACTGATTCTTTTAATTTGCAGATCGAGGACGACTGGCGATATGTGGCGATGGTTTTGGACCGCCTCTTCCTATGGATCTTCATGGTGGCTTGTGTTCTGGGCACGTGTGGGATAATCTTCAGGGCGCCTTCCCTCTACGATACAACTCTTCCTATAGACATTCAACTGTCGAAGGTCGCGCAACGTCGCCGTCTTGATCTAATGGGACCAGAGGAATAATGGAAACTAGTTATAGATGGCATATTGGCGTGTTTTTAGAATTGTGTGGACTGTGTACAGTAGCCGAGGATGAAATAAAAATGACAATATAAATATTGCTGATTCCATTGTTTTACACATTAGGGCAATGGAATGACAATAATGGACTTTGGAATCTGCGGTGCTGGAACACGAATGATACAAGGTTAGGACTCAAAAGCAGCAGCCGTGGTTCACTAAGTACAACATAATTTGAACACTATTCCCGCCAGTATTATATAGTGCTGTGTTAAACTACACCAATATAGCAACTGAAACTAACGAAGTGTATATTTTAGAGGAATCTAAACAAATGGGAATAGTGATCACTGGTAAGAATGAACAGACACGTATCTCTCTTGGTAAGGTCTTTTTATTAGGTGTGGCTTAATACATTAATGTAAGATGTGTATGTAATGCTATGACCAAAAGTCACAGCAAGACAATGTACAAGCTGGAGCTCACTCTGTGCTGTTTTTAATAATCAAAATGCTCAAATATTTCTAGACATACATATATTAGAAGTAAATATATTATTTATTTTATACATACCTCAATAACTTATACTTTTGCTTTGATTTATTATATAAGTCATATATAAACTTATTTTGTATAATAATATACTAAAATTATAGGATCACCAGCTCATGAAGCATATTACATATAATGAGTATTAAACCTCTAACCTCATTTCCTAGTCTCTTCTCTTCTCTCTCTGAGTGTCCCAAATTCACAACAGACTCACATATACATACATATATATATATATATATATATATATATATATATATATATATATATATATATAATATATATATATATATATATATATATATATATATATATATATATATATATATATATATATATTATATATATACATATTATAATATATTACATATATATATATATATATATATATATATATATATATATATAATATATATATATATATATATATATATATATATATATATTATATATATATATAATATATATATATATATATATAATATATATATATATATATATATATTATAATATTATATATATATATATATATATATATATATATATATATATATATCAATAACAACACTGCGACTAGCCAAGGACTCAAACCCATGCTGCTTTGGCCTGCCTCATGGTGTGTGTGTGTGTGTGTGTGTACACATATATTCATTCATCTCATTTCATCTGATGTCAATCTCACTCCTAATTCAATATTTTCTTCCTGTCCTATGAAATATCGTAGTAAGTTTTCATATTTGTTAATATTCAATTGAACTTACAGTTGTTGAAAAAAGTTCCTTGACACTCTCTCCTTGGCAGAAATAATATATGCCAACTCAGATGCAGAAAGCACAGTAGTAAAGTCTATCTTAATGAATGAATTAGCATGACTTGTAAGTACGAGGGTGACTGGTTCACAAAATTAATTGCTGGTACTTTCTGTGTATCTATATAAAAGTAGTTTTATGAATGCAGATATGAATTAATTACCGTTCACATATCATATCCAAGATTATAAAGTCATAAAAATTATTTGAAAACCGTGACCGAGTATATAGTAAGGGAAGTGCAAGGGAATTGTAATGGAAGTGTTACTATCATACATAAGTCATATCTACTCTGGAGAAACATGATTTTGATGTTAAGTTAATGAATACAGATGCACCTAATGAGACATTTTATTGTGGCTCTCCAGGAGGTATGTCAAGTTGTTACAAACATTACAAAGACACAATGTTTGAGCTTTAATCCTTTAGAATTGACTACTGTATGACAGGTTGGCAGGATAGATAAGTTTTCAATTTCACTTTGGGTTATGGCCTATCAGCTGTATAACAAGTAGTTTAAGGGTAGGTTTCCAGCAACCAGAAACGCACAAAAGCCACTATTCCTGCTTCCTGTTAGCAGTGTTGACTATTTAAGTTTGATTTATGAGTTATGTCGTCTTGGAGCTGTGATTTATCTCTTCTTACAGCTGCAGTTTATGAGTTATGTCACCATGCAGCTGTGATTTATGAGTTATGTCACCTTGCAGCTGTAATTCATGAGTTATGTCACCTTGTAGCTGTGATTTATGAGTTATGTCACCCTTCAGCTGTGATTTCGGCATTAGTGTCTGTTTATTAAGCTCATTTGGTCAGCGAAGGCCTCTGTATACCTAGAGGGTTACTGCTGGGGTAATTCGGTGTATATGGTGAACAGTGCAAGTTTATTTTAATATATATTTAAGGGATTATGATGATTTTAATGTTTCATAAGAACATTATATACGTCCAATTCAAATTCGTCAGTTCTTACTCACATATTTGTCTAATCAATTTTTACAAGCTTTCCAAGGAAATATTATAAATAACCCTAATAACATATTCTAGGTTATTGATCTGTGCTAGTGAAGTAACGTCTTGTTATACAGTTGATAGGCCATAACCCAAAGTGAAAGTGAAAACTTATCTATGGTGCCAACCTGTCATACAGTAGTCAATCATGAGGGATTAAAGATCAAACATTGTGTCTTCGTAATGTTTGTAACAACTTGACATACCTCTTGGAGAGCGAAATGCTGCCACAATAAAATTAGGTGCATCTGTGTTCAATTACTTAACATCAAAATCATGTTTCTCCAGAGTAGATATGACTTACGTATGATAGTAACACTTCCATTACAATTCCCTTGCACTTCCCTTACTATATACTCGGTCACGCTTTTCAAATAATTTTTATGATTTTATAATCTTGGATATGATCTGTGAACGGTAATTAATTCATATCTGCATTCATAAATCTACTTTTATATAGATACACAAAAAGTACCAGCAATTAATATTGTCAGCCAATCACCATCGTAGTTACAAGCTGTGCTAGAGTTGCCAGATATTATTTCTTCCCAGGAGAG